AACCTATCAAAAAATAACATTGAAAATAAGACAAAGAATAAAACAGCAATTATTCCTAAAGAGTTCATATTTTTGTATTCTCGATCAAATCTTCTACATTTTCTACACACTTTTCATACCCTCTCTTATGTTATTTTCAACTCTCCTGCAAGGTTAACAAATTGGGGACAAGAAATAGGGAAGAGTTATTTGTGACAAATAAACAATTTGCAGACAGATAACACCAGAAGAACTGAGGAGAGTTGGAAATAACGTGCGAAAGGGGCAAAAAAAGTATTGTAGAGAATGAAGGAGATTTGAACAAGAATCAAAAAATTTGAATAATTGCTGTTTTGTTCTTTGTCTAATTTCAGATGTTATTTCTTTATAGATATCATTCGGTATCTATTTATTTCTTGATGAAAAATCTCGATTTTCAGTGATTTAATCAGTTATTTATCTCACCCTGTAGCCAGATGTCTTAATTCTGACCACCATATCATGCCTGATATCATTCGAATTCTAAGAATTATAATTATTATTAACGGTGACTTGAAAAGAACAATAATTATTCAAAAATTGTAACGTTGATGAAGAACACCTCGTATGAGATTTGAGATTTGATAGGAGTATTTGTGACTAGTCCGAATCGATTGCCTACATCAAAATGTTTGTAAAAGGATGCCCAATCCGTTTTCTTCAATTTTGCTGAAGATTTTATGATCGCAGTAGGCTGAGAAATTGTGATTGATGAATTTTGTTTGCTCGAAAAAGTAGATAATTTTGAGTAGAATACTGTGGGAAAAAAGTCTTATCGCCCTATGAATACGAAAGTACGAGGGTGAGGTGGACCAATTTATAACACACTGTAGATTGAAATAATGAACCAAATATTGTTAAGACAATAATCAACCAATGTGCCGTCGAACTCGAATAAACAATGTTGCATAAACGCTTCAGAATCGACATGGGGAGGATATTGAAATTGCGATATTGGTTATAAATGTTGGAAACAATATGTATACGATATCTTCCGCATGATATAGTTGAAATAATATCAATCAATATGGGTGAATGTGATATATCGAATATTCTTGAAACAATATTCAACCATCGTACCGTCGAACTCGAGTATACAATATTGCATAACCGCTTTATAATCGACATTGGAAGACTGTTCAAATTGCAATATTGGTTATAAATGTTGGAAACGATATGTATCCGATATCTTCCGCATGATATAGTTGGAATAATATCAATTAGTATGTGTGAATATGATGTTTCGAATATTTTTGAAACAATATTCAACCAACACACCGTCGAAATCGAGTATACGATTTTGCATAACCGCTTCAGAATCGACATGTGAAGAATGTTCAAATTGCGATATTGGTTATAATTATTGTTGGTTACAATATGTATACGATATCTTCCGCATGATATAGTTGAAAGGATATCAATAAATATAGGTGAATATGATGTTCCAAATATTGTTGACACAATATTCAACCAATGTGCCGTCGAACTCGAATATACACTGTTGCATAACCGCTTCAGAATCGACATAGGGAAAATATTGAAATTGCGATATTGACTAAAATTTTTGGAAACAATATGTCTACGATATCTTCCGCATAATAAAGTCTGAATGATATCAATCAATACAGGTGAACATGATGTTTCAGATATTATTGAAACAACATTCAATCAATGTGTCGTCGAATTCGAATATACAATATTGCATAACCGCTTCAGAATCGACATAGGAAAATGTTCAAATTGTGATATCGGTTTTAAATGTTGGAAACAATATGTAAACGATATCTTCCGCACGATATAGTTGAAATAATATCAATGGATATGGGTTAATATGATGTTTAGAATAATTTTGAAACAATATCCAACCAACGTACCGTCGAACTCGGGTATACAATATTGCATAACCGCTCCAGAATCGACATGGGGAGAATGTTCAAATTGCGATATTGGTTCTAATTGTTGGAAGCAATATGTATATGATATCTTCTGCATGATATAGTTGAAATGATATCAATCAATATAGGTGAATATCATGTTGAAAATATTGTTGGAGCAATATTGAACCAGAGTGCCGTCGAACTCGAATATCCAATAGTGTATAGCCGCTTCAGGATCGACATGGAGGAATGTTCAAATTGCGATATCGGTTATAAATGTTGGAATCAATATGCATTCTATATCTCCTGTATGATATTAATGAGATGAAATCAATTAATATGGGTGAATATGATGTTACGAATATTTTTGAAACAATATTCAAAAACGTACCGTCGAACTCGAGTATACAATATTGCATAATCGCTCTAGAATCGACATAAGGATAATTTTCAAATTGCGGTATCGGTTCTGATTGTTCAAAACGATATGTATACGATATCTTCCGCATGATGTAGTTGAGAAGATACCTGTCAATCAATTTAGATAGATATGATGTTCCAGATATTGTTGAGGAAATATTCACACAATGTGCCGTTGAACTCGAATATACAATGTTGCATTGACGCTCCAGCATCGACATGTGGAGAATATTCAAATTGCGATATTGATTATAATTGTTGAAAACAATATGTCTACGATATCTTCCGCATAATACAGGGTGTTCCGGTGATCATGTTACAAACTTCTAGAGTAGATGAAACACACAAAAATAAGATAAAAAGTTCATGTCAACATGGCTCCAGTAACGGACTAGGGCTAGGGCCCTTCGAAGATGACCTTCAAAAACTACTTTTTGTTTTAAAGCTTCGGTACTACTGCAGCTACCGCAAACAATTTAGGGACATGGAATCTAGTTCGTAGGTTCATCAATTTGAGCATTTCGGATTTTGTCACCTTCAACCAGGAGCGTACAAACCAGGGGGGTATTTGGGTAAATTTGACCCTACTCCTCTTAGGCTTCAATTTCTTATCATTTTCATATCTGATATGATTCTCCAATGCCTTTTACATAAAAGAGGTACTCTTGTAAAAATCGCTATCTGTCACCGTTTCCTCCGAAAATGGCTAAATCCAATCAATAATAAATTATTGGTCTTAAACCAATTATTACGTTGAAATATGAAAATGAGGTTCAGTAAAGATAGTGAGCATTATCAGTTAGTCAAATATTCTTCTTCAATAAATAAATTAGATAAAAGAAATGTATTGCCTTCTCGAAATTGGGGGTATAAAAAGTAAAAGGGAACGTATACAAAATATTTGAAAAAAAAAACAAATAAACCTACACAAGCAAAACTGATAATTAATTTGCAATGAATCATTGACGAGCACCGATAAAAAACTTGAAGTTTCGGAGTTTCAAAAGTACAAAATAAACAAGTAACACAAACAGGTTTAACGAGTGAGTCAAGGATAATGGCAGGGTAAATTTTTGTCTTGAAGATGAATTCACTAACGCTATCGTTGACTGACCCTGTACGTACCAAAATAAATTCAAAATAACAATTGCTGAAAATGCCTTCCACCACGTTCAATTCATTTATTACACCTAGGTAGCATATTTAAATTGACGTCAGTCAGGCATGGTTTGGATCATTTCAGCCGCAACAGAAATCCTAGCCACCAAATCTTCCTCCGACTGAACTGGAGTTTCATTTACAAGGCTTTTTATATGTCTCCAAAGAAAGAGATTCATAGGAGTTAAATCTGGGGACCGGGCTGGCCAGTTGACATAGCTTCCACGTCCAATCCAACGTCCTCTAAAACGATCATCGAGGTGCTGAGGTACGACATGTGAAAAATGAGCGGGTGCTCCATCATGCTGGAACCATAGATTCCGACGTATGTGGAGGGGCAGCTCATTCAATAACTCAGGTAAGGTGTATCTTGAAAAATTGAGGTACCTTCACCGTCCCAGTTAGTCGAGGAGGCAACATGATCACCGAAACACCCTGTATAGTTAAAATGATATCGATCAATATAGGTAAATATGATGTTCCAAATATTGTTCAAACAATTTTCAACCAATGTGCCGTTGAACTCGAATATACAATATTGCATAACCGCTTCTGAATCGACATGGGAAAATGTTCAAATTGTGATATTGGTCATAAATGTTAGAAACAATATGTATACGATATGTTCCGCATGATATAGTTGAAATAATATCAATTGATATCAGTATATATGATGTTTCGAATATTTTTGGAACAATATTCAACCAACGTACCGTCGAACTCGAGTATACAATATAGCATTTCCGCTTCAGAATCGACATGGGCAGAATGTTCAAATTGCGATATTGGTTCTTATTATTGAAAGCAATATGAATACGATATCTTCCGCATGATTAAGTCGAAATCATATCGATCAATATAGGTAAATATGATGTCTCAAATATCGTTGAGACAATATTCAACCAATACGCTGTCGAACTTTAATATACAATATTGCATAACCGCTTCAGAATCTACGTGGGGAGAATGTTCAAATTGCGATATTGGTTATAATAGTTGAAAACAATATGTATACGATGTTGTTGTATCGACATTTATATTAAGATAATATTAAATAACATTTATAGATGTTTCACTACATATTTTATTTAAAAACCAATATTGTTTTAATATTGTAGCTGACAAACAATTTTTAGCTCAGGTTGAACCAATGTTCCACCAATATTATCATTCTATATTCAATATACTATCATATTGGAGCTATATAATTTTTCAGATGTACGATATATATCTATATCGGCCCGACATAAAATTAGGTTCCAGCCAATATGATGTGCTACCTGGGATGTTGGTTAAATTTCTTCAAAATACGCATCAAAGAAATGAATTGAAGCGAACTGATTCAACGACGCCTGGAAATTGATCAATTCCTAACGCATTTTCTATCGAGTATTGATACTGTTATCGATTTCGTCGTTTGTGCAATTCATGATATTCTGTAATCATGACTGAACCAATCCTTGGCCATATGACTATTTCTTCATTGGTCTTCGTATTCACTTTCCTGTAATCATCGATAATATACAGTTCTTTCACATCCGGTAGAAGAACGAATCCCACCTGTTACAAGAATATCAGTGTGTAATGTCATTTATCATAGCAGTAACAACGAAATTAAAAAACAAAACGATGAAATAAAAAGCGAGATACATAACATTAGGAAAGAATTGAATAGTGAAATCGAGGCGTTGAAAGAGGAAAACATTGAGCTGAAGAAAAGTGTCGAAACTCTAGAAGAAAGATTATTGATAAATGAAAGAAAACAGAAAAAATACAACTTGATTGTTTATGGAATACAAGAAGATGAAGATGAAGTTCATGATATTGAAAATTTTTTAAACATCATAAACAATAGGTGTGGAGTGGAGTGCAAGTTTCACGACCTTAGAGATTGGTACAGGATTGGTGTGTCGGGGCAGAATACAGGAAGGCCTAGACCAATAGTTGTGGAGCTCATATATTATAAGCAGAGAGCGTCTATTTTAGAAAAAGCCTCAAAACTGAAGGGTAGCGGAATATATATCTCAAAAGACTACATAAGAGGAGACTATAATAACAGGAAAATCTTAGTCACACATTTGAAAACAGCACGAAACAGCGATCCCGATGCTAAAATTTCAAGAAATAAACTCATAGTCCATGGCACTAGCTTTACAGCTGAACAATTAGAAAAACAATCTGACAAAATCCCCCAATACCTGGCGCAACAACAAAACGAACAAAATCAAGAACAAATCACGTTGAATTCGAAAAGGAAAGAGCCACCCAGTAGCCCCACTGATGTTCCACCGAAAAGAGTAACCAGACAATTCAGCAATTCGTCAAAAAAATAAAAACTTCTTTTTCTTATTTACAATTTAGTGTTTAGTGTACGCAATTATTATTATTTTTACTACATTTTCATTAATAGTCTGATATTTTATATTGCTTTCCTCTCTTGTTTTATTTTTGTCAATTCTATAATTTTATATAGGTACCTTCTTAGAAATGCTATAATTTATTGTATATCTTCCAACTCAACCATAAAATTGACAGATACATTCGAGATTTTCAAATTCAGACAATTGATACACGTGTTGCAAATAACACAGTACAACTCAATGATGTTTTTCAAGAAAACCAACCCAGAAATGCTTCAACAATTATCCAAATGAATATAAGAAGCATCAACAAAAATCTGGATGAACTGAAAATCGTGCTGTCGGAAATTCAGAATGAAATGGATATAATTATCCTATGCGAAACCTGGCAGATAACTGATTTTTCACTTCACAATATGTATGGTTACACAAGTTTTTATAATCATGGAAGTATAAACCAAAATGATGGCCTAGCTGTATTTGTGAAAAATGGCATTAAAGCACATACCTCAGTTATAAACATAGGCGAAATAAAAGCAATTGAAATTCTGCTAACAAACAACAGTGAAACCAGCCTCATTACAGCATTATACAGACCACCATCTACAAATATTAACAACTTCAATGAAAATTTATCACATTACATGGGAAATTGCTCAAAAACCATAAATATACATATTTTTACCGGCGACATCAACATAAATATTCTTGGGGAGGAAGAGGAAACACAAGATTATTTGAATATCATGGCTGAACATGGATTCATTTCCGCGATCAACAAATATACTAGAATCCAAAACAATTCAAAAACATGTATAGACCATACATTCTTAAAAACTAGGGTAGACAATAATAATTATAACATCAAACCAATAATTTTTGAAACTAATATAACAGACCATTTCTCTATATTGGCAGATATAACCCTTCCCGAAAGAAAAGTGAATAAGGTGAGTAAATTGGAAAAGCACTACTTGGATAAAACTAAACTTCTCAATCTTATCAGTAAAGAGAAGTGGCAAGACGTATATTCGGAAAACAATGTTGAATCAGCCACAGCAATACTGATAAAAAAAATTCAAAACTACGTGAACTCATGTACCAATAAGGTCAAAATTAGAGCATGTAAGAACAAAAAGGAAGAGTGGATGACAAAAGGACTAGTGGATTCAGTTAATAAAAAGAATGAACTTTTCGATATAGTGAAGAGAAATCCAACTGAAAGTAACATAAATGAGTATAAAAAATATAGGAATAAATTGAATGACTTAATTAAAGCAACAAAATTCGCGTATTATCAGAATCAGATTCAACAGAAATCGAATAACTCTGCTGATTTATGGAAATGCGTTAACGAAATTTGCGGGAGAAGTAGTGTTCATTCCAACATTGAAAAAATCATTAAAGCCGACAGTGAACCAACCACCGATGAAATAGACATGGCGAGGGAATTCAATGATTATTTTTCTCAAATCGGAAAAAGGTTAGCAGACAAAATAAAACCCACTGAAAACCATGAAAGATTCCAGAAAACATACCTACCCAACTCCTTATTTCTGTCAGAAACAAATGAACAAGAGGTGAGGCAAGTCATACAGAACTTAAAAGATAAAAAAGCTCCAGGTATTGACAGTATCACATCGGAAACTTTGAAACTGTTAACAAATCACATTGTGAAACCTCTTGTCCATTTGATAAATCGATGCTTTGAAACTGGAGAATTTCCGTCAGCTCTCAAAATAGCGGTGATCAAGCCACTCTTCAAATCAGGCAACAAAACAAGTATTTCCAACTACCGCCCTATTTCGCTGATATCCAGTATTGCAAAAGTCTTAGAAACTGTTTTGAAAAATCGAATCACTAAATATTTAGAAAAATATAATGTACTTTCTGAAAAGCAATATGGATTCAGAACAAATAGGTCGACGCAAGATGCGATAAACCACGTATGCACCAGGATCAGTCAATGTGTTGATGAAAGACAACCTACTCTATGCATATTTGTGGACCTCGCAAAAGCGTTCGACACTGTTTGCCATACCCAATTGCTAGAGATATTGGAGGGCATCGGATTCAGAGGGATACCATATAAACTAATGAAAAACTATCTACTTGACAGAAAACATCATGGTAAAATTAATAATTCCCTAAGTGAATCTGCGAATATTGAATATGGTGTCCCTCAGGGAACCGTTTTAGGACCGGTGCTCTTCAATATCTATCTGAATGACTTATTCAAATTGGATCTGAATGGTGAAGTAGTGAGTTTTGCTGATGACACAGCAATCCTCTATACCGACAGAAATTGGAATACTCTGAAGCGAAAGGCTGAACAGGACTTTGAAAATTTAGCAAAATGGTTTGACAATCGATTATTAACAATCAATTTTAGTAAAACTCACTTCATTCCCTTCACCTCCTACTCCACCAACCTACCAGAATTCGACTCACTTACAATTCAAAGAGGCAACAGTGAAATAAAAATCCAGTCAGTTGATTCTATAAAGTACCTGGGTATCTACTTAGATAGACATCTGAGATGGGATACTCACATTAGTTATGTTACAAAAAAATTAAGGTGCACCCTCTATAAATTCAGATACCTCTCTGTGATTTTGACGACCGAACAACTGCGGATTCTATACTTTGCTCTGGTACAGAGTCATCTTACATATGGAATTGTTGCGTGGGGGGCCGCGAACAACATACACATGAAAATCCTGGAAACCATCCAGAAGTCCATCATGAAAGTTATATACAAAAGACCGCGTACTTATTCTTCCGACTTATTATACACGGAAACAGAATTAATGGACATAAGACAATTATTTTTCCTGACGCTGGTCGTGAGACAACACAAATATAGAAAGGACCTCATTGCTGTAACCCATGATTATGAAACACGTAACAAAAAAAAATTCAGTAAAATACCAAGGACAAACAAAAACATATTACAGAGATCATACTTTTATCTGGGACCAAAACTGTATAATCAATTACCACTAGAAATTAGGAACCTGAACTCAGACCTCCATTTCAAAAATAAAACAAAAAAATGGATGAAAGAAATGCCAAGGTCACGAATACATGAAATTGTTAACGGCAGTTCAATGGTTTGATGTCAGATAATAATGTATTCAGTCACTTTATTCTCTCGATATATCAAGTCACTATAATACTCTTAGTTTTCAATCGTTTACTCTCCCAATGTATTAATTTTATTATACTATTCACGCAACACATCAAACAAGCACACCTACCAACACATATACACACATAACGATAGTTTATCTGGCACCACTTTCAAGGTATTCCTTTAGTGGTATCTAAATTTATTTATTGTTAAAACACACGAAAATGCTGTATATTTAACATTAACATTTTGTTAATTTTGTGCAATGATTGTATTTTTCTTGGTGAATAAATTATTATTATTATTATTATATTATAGCAATTGGGAGAGAACAATGTTGATGGACTCGAGAATCGGGCCCAGAATTTGCCTCAAGCAATGCTATTGTCACTGTGAGTAAAGCGTTTTCGTCCAAGTTGTCGTCGGAGTTCGATATCGCCAATTCGAAAGAGCGTTATATCTAAACTCAACATTTCCAATATCCCTTTTGTATAGAATTGCCATGTAGATACATTATGAAATATTCATACTGCTCAATAAAAACCAGACAGTTCACAAAAACAAAACATCAGTATGCATTTCTTCTCCATCATACGGCGATTGCTTGAAATTATGCGCAACATTACCATAATATCATGAGCATTCAATGGCGTAGTATGTTTGGAACTTTATTGTGTGGAAAACTGGTTTTATGTGATTTTGCCCCTGTGTTCATTCGGACGATTGCGGAACGCTCGGAGTCCTCCGGATAGTCCCTTGTGTTCTCTGCAATTTCCATATTTCATAAAACACAAATTCAATTTTGTCTATCGTGACTGACTGATAGCAATAATGATAATCGATATCGTTCTTCTGTAACAACCGTTTTCATGAATCATGATTTCTTTTCTGTGTGGAATATAACAAGAGTAATGTTCCTCTTCTTAAGGTGCACCTTGAAAATGGATTCAAAACAATCACGTTCTTCATACTACATCGATTTTAATTGAAGATAATCCACCATATCTATCCGTATGAGATAAGAGATTCAGAGATTCATCCCATTTGAAGGAACCTGTTATGAGCTGCAAACTTCTAGATACTCTCAACTCAGATGATGAACTACAAAGTACAGTCTGCAGTTCTATTAAATGGCATGTATTTATTACTGGGCAATAGATAGAGGGGCATTTAGTTATTCGCTTTCATATGTTGTCTTGCATGAATATTGACAAAATCGGAGGAAAAGTGAAAATTAAAAAACTAATTCATGTAGACAGAGAGATCATCATCTCCTATCGTCGCGTGATCAATTCTTCCTTTCGAAAACAAGGAAGGTAAAGTTTCCACGAAATTGTTTTCAAATCATATTCAAATGATACTATTTGTACCAAATTCTTTGATTGTTTTTCTTTCTATGACAGGATGTTAAATCTCATGTTGTTCATTCATCCGTTACCCGTACATATTCAAATAGCAATAATATCGGAAATTCGAAATCATGTGGATTATTTTCAAACACTAGTTTCATTTTCAAACTATGAACATTTTTGCTATCTTTAATTAGTTGTCAGTTGGAAAGTGCTCTCGGATCTTTATTCAAAATTCCACTTTTCCAATCTCATATACGTCAATTCTACTTGCTTATTCATCTGTTTTTATTTTCAAGTATTGCAGAATCTAAGAGTTCAAGCTTCCATATCTTCGGATAGGAGTGACTGAATTCCGCCCTTACATATTGTCTGATAAATTGTGTACCATCGAGGTTTTGATTATTTTGTAATTTGGGCAATATGAATAAAGACATATTATTATTATTATTATTATTATTATTATTATTATATTGAACATTTGTGGAAAC